GTGAAGCCTTCCAAAGCCCTCCTTCCTGCCAGCCTTCTCTGCACCCCACCACTGGGTGCCACACCCCAGGGCTTGATGCAGCACAGGGCCTGGCACACAGAGCCCAGGAGTGACAGTTCACACTTCCACAGCTCAGGGATGGAGCTGGCAGGTGCCACTGGTCATTCTGTCCCCCCTCCAGGACTCCGCTGTCTGGACCCCTGGAAGATCATGGCCTCTGCACAGTGGTACCAGGTCCCTACCCAGTGAAGCCACCACAGATCCTCCTCATTTCCTTCCCTCTTGCAGATCCCTGGGAAGCTGAAGAATCCCATTCCTTGGAATCTGACTCCTCCCCACTTGGTAACTCACCACCACCCCCCACCCCCGCAAAACTACATCCGGCCCCTGCCCCTCCTCCTGGTGTTTGGGGAAGGAGGCACTAGAAGGCTTTCAACCTGGTGGCTGCCTCTGAGAACAAGAGGCAGGAGGAAGCCTGCAAGCCCTGCCCCCTTCCTGGGGCTGGAGTCAGGGCTGCTCTGATCCCTGACCTACATCCCCAGGTCTTTAATTTATTTTTTTAAATTTTTGACAAAGAATCTCACTATGTTGCCCAGGCTGACCTGGAACTTGCAATCGTCCTGTCTCAGCACCCCCCCCAAGCAGCCTGGATTCCAGATGTGGGCCACCACGTCTGGCCCCTGCCACTTTCCTTTGACCAGGTCTGAGCAGTCGCTGTGATACGGTCCTTTGGTGGGGGAACTTTCAAAGCACATTTATCTCACACAATATCTAAAATGTCAGCCAGACAGATTCCCTGCAGGGACAGGGGCTTCTGGGCCATGCATTCTGAGTATGTAGGTGGCTGCTATGCTCCTTCCTCGGGATTCCTGAGACACACACACACAAACACACAGAGGAGAGAAGGCCCGCGGGGAGTGGGGTGAGGGGTATGGCTGACGATGGAGATAGCCACAGAGCCTAGGCTGGGCAAGGTGGGGGACCTTCCCCAACGTCACCAGCCTGCCATTCTGGGGGCTGTCCTGCTTTGCATACCCCCGGAAACCTCTCTGCTCCCAAGACCCACACATCTTCCTGGATCTATACAACTGAGATGACAGAGATCAGTGGAAACACTTCTCCAAGCCCTCAGCACGGGGCCTGGTGTCCAGCTCCCCTAGGTGTGCACCAGCTGTTGGGGACAATGCCTTTGTACTACCTGCTCCTGGGGGGCCTGGCAGAGGTGGCCATACTGGAGGAAGCTATGAACCCACAAGGGCACCACTCCCAAGGACTGGTATCCAGAACCATCTCTCCCTGGCCCTGGCTCAGAGGGCTCAACTTCCAGTTACGAGGCTGGGTGGGATGAGGGGGGGGAGCTCTGGTCAGGGACAAAGCATCAGAGGCCACCACCTTCCACAGCCAGGCTATCCCAAGGGACCGTCTGAGGGCCCAGGTCCCTCTTCCCTGACAAAGCCCCCAACTCTACCACATTCTGCCAACACCCAAGTCCATCTGCTGCTCACCACCTGAGACCCTGGGGAGGGGCAGCGCCGCTCGCAAATGCCCTGGGAGGCCAGGGTGGGCCGCCCCCGCGTGATCTGGCGTCTTCCAAAAGGAGGTCTCGGCCTCTCATGGAGAGATCCATTCTGTCCTTCTGAGAACAAAATGATCCAGCCCTTGAATAAAGTCAGAGATGGGACTACTGGGAGAACTGGGAAACACAAGATAGTGGAGACTTACCAGAAACATCCAGTTCTCTGCACAGTTACCAGATACCTGTGATCATCTTTCCTGAGGGAGTAGTTACCTGGGCACTGATGGTTAGAAATGCAGAATCCCAAGTCCCGTCTGTCCTCTTAAATCGCTCTTGAAGGTGAGGACATCAGAATCTGCATCTTTCAATCACCTCCCTTGGTGACACCAGGGATAGAGAATTTTGAGCCCATGACTCTGTTCAGATCTGCCAGGCTTTTGGGAAGGGAGTGGGAGCCCCAAACACACCCAGCCCTCTTCCTTGTGCTGTGCATGGGCCAAAGACTGTAAGCTGATCCAGGGGATTTCTGGCACCAAATAAAATGTCCTCATTAAAATCAAGCAGATTGTTTTATCCTGCCTTCGGGTTAAATCCTAACAGTGTGCTGCCTTTGGGTTCCTCTGAGGGTCTCGTCACAGCCAGACAAAGGCACCTCCCTGCACCCAAGCATATACACAGGTAAAAACCAGGACACGAGGGTGGCCCCATTCTTTCCATCTTCTCTCAGGAAGAAAGGCACATGAAAAAGGACCAGCTTCTTTATTGCTCAGGGAGACAGGAGCCTGAGCAGAGTCCCGGGATAATCACAGGGAGAAAGGAACGGTGCAAGGTGTCCGCCTCCTCTCTGCCCGCCTTCTACGTGAACCAGGGTGGGCAGCCACCGCGAGACATCTGGGAGGGAGCTGGCCACAGGGCACATGACCCAAATGCCAAGGCACCCATCAAGTGCACTGTGCCCTGGGGGTCCCCAGGGCTCTGAAATCCCCTCCTTCAGGAAGAAACCCAAGAAAAACTTGGAATCAGGGCAGAACGAGCACAAAAGCAAATTCTGAGGTGCAGGACCAGAGAAGGAGCCCGTGGGGACTGCGGAGTCAGACAGCCTGTCCTTCGCGGGAGTTATGACCAAGCTTCTTAAAATGTCCTCACCCCGTCCTGTTGCTCCCCGAGGGTGGGCCTTGCATGTCAAGCCCTGCACTGGCTGAAGTTCAGCAAACACAGGCCCCTGGACTCAGTGCCTGAAATCCTGGTGGTCCTACATGTGATACCTGAGAAAACCATGTGACATCTGATCAATTCAGTTTCCCAAATAAGGTAGTAATTCTGGAATAATGAAGCGGGGGGGGGGGGATATAGATGACTTTTTTTATCCAAAGGTAATCATAGGAGAATTGATGACATTGATCGCTGATGCAGCAGTTTTGTCGGGCTTCCCTGTGGGTTTTAATACCTGTGTCTAAAGGATAATGACCCCCTGCCTTTGACGTATCTGGGGTTTTGTCGACATGATGCCACTACAACTGGTTTTTATCAGCTTTTAAGCAGTTTTAGAGATACAACGGCAATTATGAAATGTCTCTTTCAAGACATGTGGTGTTGTGGGTGACAGATCTTGCTTCTTAGCTAAAGAAGAGGAAGGAGACCTAGCTGCCACCAGAAGTACAGCTCATGCCTGTGCAGAGCAAGCAGAGAGGATCTGCCACAGCATCTCTCCAAACCGATGACTGATGAAAACAGAGTCTGACCGCCCGCTGACCGCATCCCCGGGCTCGCCCTCTCCTCCCGTGCAGCTTTGGAGTAGTCATGAGAAAAGGGAGATTCTCCCGTCAGGTTCAATTGTATATGTTGTCTTGGCCCCTGCCTGACTGTAACCTCAACAGCACTTTTGGCATTGGGACAATGGAGGGTGGACAGCTGCTTGTCACTAGGAAAGCTCGGAAGGGTGTGTCTGTTGCGATTTGAACTTGAGTGGCCAAATGGGCTCTGAACAGAGTGATTTCATTTCAGCAACACACCGTCCCGTGCGGCAGTGGTGTGCTGGTAGATGCTTAACAGCCGGCTCCTGGGGAGAGAGGCCTGACTTGAAGCTGATTCTCGTGGTATAGAAACTTCCACCATGGCTGATCGAAAACTACCAACATGACAACCCCACTCACAGAAGGGGGAGGGATGTGCCCCAGTGACTCCCCCAGACAGGCGTGATGTGCCTCTGCCAGCACTGGGAAGGCTCAAAGCCTCCTTAGATGCCTCATCTGTCTCCATTCTGGTCTCCATGGAAACCTTAGAACCAGACAACACTTGGCCTGGCTGAGCTGCCTTTTAAATGAAAAGCTAAGAGTTAATAAGAGGGTATCTTTCCAGGTAGCCCTGCAGACCCTTCTCTGCCTTTAAATACTGGGGCTGCCCAGTAGGGAACTCCGACAGGCTCTCCCAGCAGGTCCCTGGTGGGTGGTGTCCTGCCCCAGTGCTTCCCAGGCTGGGATGTGAGACAGTGGGACACCTGATTCCACGGCTCCATCCTTTCCACCCTGAAGGATCACTTTAGGATTGAGCAATAACTGCTCTGCGCATTCACAGACGGATTTAAAATGGAAATAAAGACGGGATGGCCAAAAACCTATGCCAACGCATCTTGGTTTGTATGAAATCAAGACGGGGGTTGCTCCTGGATTAGCTAAGCATCACGGTTACATGTTCTGTCAAAGTTTCAGAAGCACAGGGCACGTTCTGGGTGACCTTGGACACCCTTTGCTTTCTGCAGATAGACTTACAGAAACTAGGCGATTGAGCCCCTAGGATTATGGGACCCAATGCCTAAAAATAAAGGCTGGCTTCCTGCTCTGGTCAGTTCTCACCTGTCCATTTCAAGGGTGTGCTGGACCACATGCATAAAACAAGGCAAAACATTTCCTGTCAATTCAGGTCACAAATGGGGAGGAGAGAGACCCATCAGCCACCTTCTTCCTGCTTTTCCTTGGCTTCCACATTCATGGCATGTAACTCACAGGAAGGTGACTTCCTGATCAGACTTCAAAGAACCTAGTACATGTATCACCTGCCTGTTTAAACCATTTTCATGCTAAGATTGTCTACACACACAAACATTAGTTCTTTTTATTGGGTGTGGGGGATAAAAGTTGAATCCAATATACCGTTCCTAAGACAATGGGTGGGCAGCCGTCAGTAGCCACCAACTGTCAGACTCTTACCCCGTGGGCACACAGTCTCGGGGTCCCCACTAAGGGTCCCAGCTGGATAATATTTGGGTTAAAGCAGCCACCACTACCAAGTGGAAAGGAGTCGCCAGGTCTGGGCCACAGGTCACTGCAGCCTCAATTTGGGCAGGCCTGAAATGTCCCATGAGACCATCACTCTTCCTCTTCGAGGAGCCCCACATCTGGTGGTCAGCAAGCAGATGGACGCATGGCTCTCCACTGCCACCAGCACTCTGCATCCTTGACAGTGACTGCACTGTCGTCCACCGGGGGCCTCTCAGGAAGAAGGGCCTGAGCACAGCCTGTGGCATCCTTTGGTGATACACAGGACAATCCAACCTCCACCCTCAGGGGCCAGAGAGCAGCCCCGGGGCCCTACAGGCCTGGGAAACACAGCTCTGGGCTGGCCAGGGGGCGGTGGCAGGGTGTCTGCCCAGGAGCCCAGCCGCCTCCCTCTTCTGCGGGCCACCTCCCTCTAAACTCTCGGGCGGGAGAGCGGTCCTTCACTCAGACACCGGCAGGATGTTCTGGCTGTGAGAGTCACCTGTGAGCCCCGAGGAGCGGATGGAGCGTCTGTGGAGGACCCTGTTGAGAATCTCCCGGCAGCTTCTGCGGTACTGGTGTCTCAGCAGGCAGTACACGAAGGGGTCCGAGGCGGCCTTGCCGTAGGCCAAGCACTTGGACAGCACCCCCCAGTGGGGGCCAATGGGCGCCGCGGAGAAGATCTCCACCAGCCTGCGGAGAGACGGGACGTCACTGTCACTCAGAGCATAGCCATGCACGGACGTGGGCAGCCACAGGCAGGCTCCAGTCTGCACCCACCCACGGCTTCCTGGCCACGGGCCCTTGCTCAGAGACCACCTCTCAGGCAGCAAGGACAACAGCAGCATGATGGTGGGCGTCCACAGGCTCTTCTTTCATTCTAGACACGGTACCCTCGAACCTGGGGGATGTAATGTATCTCGCTATCTTTTCTTCTTTTTGTACTGGAGTGAATCCAGGGGTGCTGAACCATTTATCCACATCCCCAGCCCTATTTTTTGCATTTTATTCAGAGACAGGGTCTCGCTGAGTCGCTTAGGACCTCACTTAGTTGCTGGGGCTGGCTTTGAACTCCTGCCTCTGGCTCCCGAGCCACTGGGATTACAGGTGTGCACCACCGTGCCCGGCTTTATTTCTATTTCACAGATAAAGAAACATGTCCCAGGAGGTCAGATAATTTGCCGGTCAACTTTGCACGGCTGGTCAACTGCAAAGGCAGAATTTGAACTCAGCTCTGACCACCTCTAAATCCCAAGCTTCACTATGAAACGGGATGATAGCTCATGGTGCTCTGGCTTTGGCTCCAGCTCCCTGGGAATATCTCTCCACACCTTGGAACTCAGCTCTTATATGAAAAGCCAGAGGTGTAGGCAAGATGGTCCCGTCATCCTTCCCAGCGGCAGAGTCTGGCACGACTGCCCCGAGCCTGCTCTGCCTTCCTAGGAAGGCCGAGCGGGGAAAGGGCTGGGGGTCATTTGGTGACACTGCCTGAAGCTCAAAGCAGGTCCTATGCAGGACAGAAGCTGCTGGCTGAGAAGGTTGGAATTCTGGGGGGCTCTGATAAGACCAAGGTCAGGTACCCTGAAGTGACCCTCATTCACTGGGGGAGGACAAAAGAAGTCACAGCTCATGTGTCCAAGGGTACAATTCTCAGGGTCCTCCTGGCACTAGTCAATGATGCCAGTGCCAGGTTGTGAGGGGTGAGAGCCTCCTGCTGCATAAACAGACACATTAGTGTTCAGCACCCTCATATCTGGCCATGGTCCAGCATGAACATAGGATTTTAAAACAAACAAACAAAGACTCAGAGCTGGGAGAGACTTTGGAGATCATAAACCACCCTCTCCCGTGCCCATTGTTGACTGAGGACATCAAGGCCCAGAGAGGGGAGGATATTGCCCAACATCACACAGCATATCAGTGGCCGCAGTAGGTCCAGGCCCTGTATTCTACTCTGGCACCTTCTTCTACCTGACTATCTGCAGGATGGATCTCAGCAGAGCTGAGCCGGAGCTGAGCTCTGCTGCCGGCTTTAGCTGGACGTCCTGATCCCCAGGGAACTGTGGGGCTCCATTCCTCCTCAGAACTGCCCCTTTCCTGAACAGACCTCCAGCAAGTGCATCTGAGCCCCTTGGCTGCCTTTCCATTTCCCTCTCCCTTGCCCACCGCCCCCAGGGCACAGTGGATACGGCTCCTCTCAGGTCCTCGGGAGCTGAAGTGGGACCGTGTGCATTTGGGAAATATGTTCTTTTATGAGACCTATTTTTGAGAAGTGATGAATTTAAAGAGACAAAATCCTTGAATTTAGAATCCACAGCTCATGCTCACAGAGAACTAGCTGGGGGCCAGCACAGGGCTGCCGAGCCCGGCCGACTGGCACGCCAGCGGGTCTAGCCTTCTACCCCAAATTAAAGAGCTGAATATCATCAACCCATCCAGCCAGAGCAAAATCGTCATCTGACGATTCTGAAGATTTCACAGAATAAAATTATTCAGAGCAGTTTTAAATTTCACCATTTGGAAAATGCAGATGATCTATGGCACTTGGAAACCTCTGTCGGCTCCACACGAACACTCCCCAGTTAGGGTCCTCTTTGGGTCAAGCCCTGATGGACAATCTCTGATCTTACAATTCTCCTGCCGAGGGGATCATTATCCCCATCTTACAGGCAGGGACATCGAGGCTCAGAGAGGCTGGGCAGCCAGCCAGAGTCTCCATCCAACCACAGAGCAAGGCCCGGCGAGGCCACCGTGGGACCTGACTCTCAGCACTCAGGGTGAAGAAGACGTGCTCCGAGGCCCCTCGTAATTCCAAGAGCCCCTTCCCCACAGGGTCGACGTGCGCTCGGCAGGACTTTGCCTCTCGCCTCTCCCTACAGCGCACAGGGCAACTACTGCTCTGAAAAGCCAGGGTCTCTCCTTCCTCAGGCCCCAGGCAAAGGGAAGCTGGGGCGTGCGCAGAGCTGGACGAGGCTCCCCTGGCCTCCAGCAGGGGGCGCTGGGATGTCCCCCTCCGTGGCGGGCCTTGCCCCATCCTGGCTCCATCCGTTATGGGGGCTGAGAAGAAGCGAGGGTGTCCATACTGCCCAACTGTTTCTTCCTAATTCCAGGTCTGGGTAGGTGTTGGGCTGACCAGAGGGTCCCTCCCAGATGACCTTTCAGAGAGGGAACACTTCAGCCCATCTTCTAACACCAAGTCCCCTCCGCCACCGCTTCCTGCACCACTTCCTACACCCTCCTTGACAAGACAGGATTCCGTGACTCAGATCAGTCCCAGTCTACACTCTACACTCCTCCATTCTACCCGGGTGGCGTATTTCAGTCCCCTGCCCACCCCTCCCTCTGGTGGTCACAGTGGGTTGGTGGCCTCAGCGTTTGACAGACGGGGCAACTGGCAGAGCAGAAGCCCCCCACAGGAGCAAGCCCCCCAGCTGCCATCTAGCACGGGGCCTGGAGTTATTGGGCTCAGGTGTTAATACTCGAGACAGCATTTCCTCTTGTCTCTGTGATGAGCTAAATTGTGTCACCCTCCAATTCATACGTTGAAGTCATATCTCCAGCACCTCAGAATTGTGACCTTTGAAGGTTATTGCAGATGTAATTAATGAAGAGCAGGTCTGAGGGAGAGGGTGGGCACGGCTGACCCAACAGGACTAACGTCCTCAGGCAAGCCGAGAATCTGGGCACAGACACACACACAGGAAGGACAGCAGGTGTTAACCAAGGCAGAGGTGGGGGAGAGGCATTTGCAAGTCAAGGAACACCAGAGGCCACCAGCACACAGCCAGGGGAGAGGCCCAGGGCAGTTGTCCCTCACAGTCCCAGAAGGAAGCAGGCCGTCCACACCGCCACCCTGGGCCTCCAGGACCACATATAAGTGCCTTCCTGTTGTTTAAGCCCTTCTTTTTGGGGTACTACTATGGCAGCCCTAACAAACTGAAACCCCGAAGGCACCCACAGGGGTGAGGGATGGTCTAGCATTTGGATTTCCTGGAGTTCCTGGCCACAACATCAAAATGGCACCTCGCCCCACCCCATTCCTAGAGCCCTGTGTGTACCAAGGACAACACTGGGGGTTTGCCAAAGCTCCTTCCCCACCCTCCAGGAAGCAGGGCTTGTCCCCATACGCACTGTTCCTACTACCTGCCAGACCTGCCCATTAGGCACCAGGATGGCTTCCCACGCGCCCCCTGGGTGTAAAGCAGACAGCATTTTGAGCACATGAGCACGCACATCTCCGCCCCTGGTCTCCTGTCAGCAGGCCAGGTGAGGGGACAGCACTGGGATGGGAGAGGACAGGCAGGGGCGGTGCTCAGCTTTTTAAGCATTTCAGGCAATTCCAGTGCCAGCACTTTTGCCCTTTATGGAAGAACTCTGGGCAGCGGGGTGTGTGTGTGTTGGGGATATAAAGTGCCTCCCAGTTCATGCCCCCTAGCCCTGTGCACCTGCTTGCACCTCTACACCCCTGCTGCTCCATGTGTCTGGGGACTTCCCATGAGCCACAGCTCTTCTTTGGCAGTAAGCCCCACGAGGCTGCTGCTAGCCACTCCCAGCTGGCTGTCAGAGCAGAGGGTAATGGACACAGGAGGCTGCCCACCATGGCCCCTCACTCACCGGGTCCTCTCACCTCACCCAGCAAGGAAAGAAGATGGGGACACATCTTCAAGAACTCTGAGGCATTCTCTGGACCCTGGGGAGACTGATGTCCCCACCTTCTCCATGACAGGAATCCCCAAGGAGAGCAAGTCCTGGGGGGAGGACAGCAGCCCCCGACCAGCACTTCCTCCCGGCCCCCAGGGATCAGGATCTACCAACTGATCACAAGCATCACCCACCCCACCATATCATTCTCCCAATTTTACAGAGACAAAGCCAAAGCAGTGTTGTGTCCAGGCTCTGGGCCAGGACATGAAAGAACCAGGACAGGAACCGACACCGTGGGCACCAGTGACTAGTGCCTGCCCACGCCTGGACTCAGTTTCTGCTTCCAAGAAGCCAAGCACCTTTGCATTCAAATACTGATTTTAAAGCAGTAAATTAGAGCCCGCTCTTCCTACAGTCTGTGCTCATCATCTGTCTGTCTCATTTCCCTCTCTCTCTCTCTCTCTCTCACACACACACACACACACACACACACACACACACGGTGCATTTCACAACACAGGCCACAGAACACTCCTCGGTAAGCCAGCTCGTTGTCTTCCCAAGACTTCTGGAGAACTTGGTCTTCATGCTTGCAGACCTGAAAGTCATAAGCTGATGCTTGAAATTTTCATGAGGCATGAGAGTGGAAAAGCGGTTTTACTGATAGAATATTAACACTCAGGAGCCACCCGCACATTGAACCTCTCTCCCAGCCACATGATCCCATTACTTTGAAAAGCCACAATAATGGGGCTGTCAGATCTGCAAATGCCTCGAAGCCTGACTGCAATGATTTAAGACGGCCACAGTTATTTGTAAGCACAGACCACTGCAGAGATGACGGCCTGACAACTGCTTCTAGATCCGTGAACTTCAGTTCAGAAAATACTTGCGAGTGCTTCTCGAGGAGGCTGCTGTGACTCTGCAGGTCCCGCTCGGTCACTCCAGGGAGAGTCCTATTGACCCCGGATCTGAGGACACGGGAGCCAGTGTGACTGTGCAGCAGAGGTGTCAGACTCCTATTAAGACCTTTGCGAATGTCCCCCGCTGTCATCGCACACCCCCGAGCACAGCTACGGGTAGCTCTCCAGCTGGTGCATTGGGCTTTCTGAGACCATCTTTATGAGAGCCACTACTTGGTCAGCACGTGCCAACCAGGTCTGCCAACTGCTCTGCCACCAGCGCTGATGGCCTCCGGGGCTCTGCTTCAGTCACATAAGATGCTGCCAGTCAGGTGGGAGATGGGGACAGCGTCATGTGGACCCACCATTTTTACTCAGAAAATCCATGTGCCTGCTTTACAAGAGAGCCTGGGTGCTGCCTGGGTTCATGTCAAGGTGCTTGTGCTTTGACATTAGGAGGGGATAAAATCTGTCCAAGGGGCATCTCTGTGCCTCCAGTGCCTGGCCCCCAAGTCTTGTAACTGTAGCATGGGCCAAAGGATAAATTGTAGCCGAGTGGCTGATGCTGACTTTGACCATTGGCTTGGCCACTCCCTGCTCATGTGTCCCTGGGCAACTCACCTCTCTGAACCTAGACTAGGATCCGAGCCCCCTTGGGCCTCGGTATTCCCACCCTGCAGGAGAGCTGTCCCAGGTGAGGCATGGAGTGTGGCCATATCCCTGGACACAGGACAGGTGTTCACCAGGTGGCAGGTATGGCCTCACAGACTGTGTTCTCCAGTAAGAAGCTGGAGACTTGAACGATCCTCGTAAACGCTGGGCTCCAGGCTGAGACGAGGCTTCCTGATCTGAGAAAGTTGTCAAGCAGATGTGACAAAGAGAAGGAGCTCCCCCGGTCAGATGGATCTTCTCAATCAGCTCAAAGGGTGACAGATGTCACAGCACAAGCCCCCTTCTGTGTCAGCATTCCCATCCTGCCAGGCCCCCCGTCTCCAGCCACCATCCGATCTTAGTCCAGTGTCACCCTGGATGAATCACTCGCGGGTAGGGTGCAAGCCCGGAACCTGACCAAGCCCTGGCTTCCTCGACTTATGAGGGGCATGTTGGTAGGTCCAGAGGGCACCTGTCCAGCTCTGGTACAGCCTCAGGCACCGAGTGGGACTTGCAGGGTTAAGCAGGGAAGCACAGTCCTGGGCTGGCTTAAGAGACAGAGCTTGCTCTTAACTTTTCCTTCTGAATTCCCCAACACCGTCTGTGGCTGCCTCAGTTGGATTTGATTTTCATCTCTGTGGACAGGAAGGCAGCAGAGAGCAGCACTGGCGCCTGCACCGGAGCCGTGCCCTTAGTGCCACTGGCCAAGTGAGTCCCTGGGGGTTCCGGTGTGAGCAGTGGGTGGTGGCGCTGGGGCCAGCGTGGCTCCACCAGAGCCATATTCTGTATTCATGAGGACTCCTGTGCACAGCTTTTCTCCTAGTAGATTGCTGCTTATCCCCATGAAGGATGAACAGTTATGTGCATGTTTTTTAAAACTCAAAATACATCAAACCCATTTGGAAACATAAAACTGAAAATACATCCATCCATCCACATTGACTTGTGAACCTACCATCAATTGTACTAAAAAAGTATTGCTGGGCACCATTGAAGGAATCAATCCACAAACAAAAATGGGAAAAGCTGGAAAATGAGATTAACCCAGAGAAAAGTCCGATTATTTGAAGCTGGAGCTATGACCTGTTCTCCAAGCGTTCAAGTTCATCTCGTGAGCCCATGACTCCCTTCCCCTGCTATAAGCCCACTCCTTATATCAGAGGGAGGGAGGACAATGACCAGGGATGTCATCCACACAGGCCTGTGCCACACACACCAGTGCTCTGAGTCCTCTTATCCTCATGACCCACACTCCCTCTGGAGGCCCTAGCAAGGCCAGGGCACTGGCCCCGAGGTCATGCAGTGGAGGGATGGAGCTGGGGTTTGGCTTGGGAGGCACACATCACAGCCACACTGCTGACCACGCACTCCACCTCCCGGGAAGGCAAGGGGACCTGTTCTCCTCTGTCACGGTGCAGGGGCTTGTGTCCTGTGAGAACTCTGGCTTCATGGCTGGATTAGTGGGTCTCAATCCATGGTTCCCAGCCAGGGAAAAGTCTGGTCCCCAACAGATCTTGGGCAATGTCTGAGGCATTTTCAGTTATTGAAACTGGGGGGCTGGAGAGGGGAGCCACCCTCCTGACATCCAGTGTGTGGGGCCAGGGAAGCTGTTAGACATCAAAGAATGTCAATGACGCTGAGGTCTAGTAGACAGTTCTAGAAGGAAGAACCGGTGAGTCTGCTCTGCACAGATCAACCTGTCCAGAGACCCGAAGGCAGTTCTAGGTCCTGTGTTCATGGTAAGATGAGGCCAGTTAGGTCTCCCAGAAGGAAGCAGCACACCAGGGAAGAGAGAGTGGCGGGGGGCACCGGAGCTGGGTGGTCTAAGGAAGAAAAGACGACTGGGCACAGGGAGGCGGCTCCCTGCCCATCTGCAAGTCTGGGAGCAAAGCGCCTTCTCCTGGGCTGCAGAGGGCAGAACTGGGCTCAGTGGCTGACACTACAGCAAACCAGGCTTCAGCGTGACGTAAGGACCACAGGGAGGAGGCAGAGAACTGTCCACAGTGGGTCCTCTGCCAGGGTGTCAGAGTGCCAGGTGACAGTGTGGCAGCGGTGCTCTTCCAGGATCCTGCAGCTGAGGGGTCTGGGGCTCACTGGGATGCTGGGCTGTGCTGTCTCAATGTCTTTCTGTCTGTCACACACACACAACTCTGTACAGACCCCACTTTCCAGGCTTGACAGAAGCTCCTTCTCCACCTCCTCATAGAACACGGAAGTTCTTTGCTACCGTCCACTTCCCAGACTTTGGAGCCACTATGGATACACAGTCACCGGGTGTTTCCTTCCCTTCAGTCCACAAAACAGACTGGGTGATAAGTTCTTTTTCTTTTTTTCTGGCTGAGGCTGACATGGGGCAATGTCATGGCCAAAGCGGGCTGGCTTGAGGAAGGTGAACCCGAGAACAGCGGCCTGCAGTTGGCCAGCTCGGGCTGCAGATCTGGGGAGCACAAGCCCGTCTGGGAACATGGGAAAGGCCCCAGCCCCAGCAGAGGTGGCCCACCTGGCTGAGTGCAGGACATGCTCCCCAAGCCTGCAGTGTCTTGGCTGGGGACACCCGGGGCTGCACTAACCAGCATTCAGTGGGCAGCAGGAGCCCAGGCCTAGAACACGGTCTCTTCTGCTTTTCTTCCTGCTTCCTTGTGTTAGGCCTCCTGGGGTTGTGGGCCTGGGCAAAGGATTGGAACGCTGTGATTTGGAATGCAGTGGAGTTGGGGGTGAGGGGTCTCTCACGCCTTTTGGGTTCTGAGTCTAACCTGAAATAATTCAAGTTGGACTAGGAGAACAGTATGGAGGTTCCTCAAGAAACTAAAAGGAGATCTACCACACGATCTAGCTGCCCCACTTCCAGGTGTATGTCCAAGGGAAATGAAACCAGCATCCCCAGGAGACACCTACACACCCATGTTTATTGCAGTACTGTTCACTGTAGCTGAGATGGGAGATCAACCCTGATGCTGGTCAGCACAGGAAGGGTAAAGAAAATGTGGAATATTCAGTCATAAAAAGAATGTAATTTGGCCAGGCACAGTGACACACACCTGTAATCCCAGTGGCTTGGGAGACAGAGGCAGGAGGTTTGCAAGTTCAAAGCCAGCCTCAGCAACTTAGCAAGGCCCTAAGCCATTGAGTAAGACTCTGTATTAAAATTTGAAAAAGAAAAAAAAAGGTTGGGGATGCGGCTCAGTGGTTGAATGTCCCTGGTTTCAACCCTCAGTACCAAAAAGAAAAAAGAAATTTGCAACAAAATAAATAGAACTGGACAACATTGTGTTGAGTGAGATGAGTCCCAAAGATAAAAATCCACACGTTCTCATACGGATGGATGTTAAGTCCATCTGGATGTGAAATAGGGATTACTAAAGCTGGAAGGGGGCAGGGACTCACAGGCTGGATTGTAGGTCCCCAAAGAGTGCAGACAGCAGTCATATGCTCCAGCACAGTGGGGTGACTGCAGTTCCCAACAACCTTTTACATATTTCATGAACAACTACAAGAGAGAGCTCAAAGCCTCCAGACTTGAAGTAATGCTAAGGAGACGGCACTGCTAACGACCCTGATTTGATCAGTGCACACTGTAGACACATTTTGAAATATCACACTGTCCCTCATAAATACACTCAATTCCTACATAGTAATCAAAAAATTCAAAAAAAAATGTTTAAGGAAATGGAAATGTTAGCACCCCAGTTTGATCATTCCACATTGTACACATGCATCAAATTATCACTGTACCCCATGACTGGGCACCAGTAAAACAATAATTAATATTCATATAAAGAATCCAAGGCTGAAGAGGAAAAGCACACACAGACCCAGGTGAGTGCCTTGTGTCCCCACTGCACCCTGGAGAAGAACTGGGGCCAGGAGAGGGTGCTCTTGCTAAGGGTCCTGGGCTTGCTCTGCTCTCCTAAGCCCCACCGCCCTCACACCAGGGCTCAGCTCACCTGGTGATCACGTAGGGGCCGAAACACACGAGGAAGGTCCCTATGAAGGTGCTGATCTTCTTGGTGGCCCGCTGCCGCCTCCGCTTCTGTTCCTCCAGACAGCGTTCCCGCACACTGTGTGGAAGAGAGAGAAGGTGACTCACAGGCAGCCTGCCAGCTCACAGTGAGGTACTACTGACAGACTCACACAGTGACTTCCAGAGTAGGCACTGGGCTATGGAGCCCAAGAGACCTGGGGTCAAGTCTTGGCTGCAGCTGTGTGACCGTGAGCAAGCTGTGTGACACTGCTAAGCCTGAGGCCATCGTCTGTAATATAACAACACCCAGTGCCTGTTGGATGTGTGTGCTCTCTTGTACACACCATAAGGCCATGTCAGCACACAGATACGTGAAAGGCATTCAGCCCATACAGCAGGTGAAGCAGGAGCAATTGTGCTTAAGTGAGTCCCAATAAAATCGACTCTTCCTGCTACACTTGCATCATTCACTCACACCTACTACGCACCAGCCCTCGGAACCGCTCTTACCGAGCAGAGTTTCTAGTTCTTAACTTCACCCCGATCAGTGGATCAGTCCTGCGGGGTGCTTTTCACCTGTCCTGTTTTTCAATGAACGCCATGAGTTCTGTGAGGCCAAACAGCCTGCTCAGCTGGCCGGCAGGGGGGCCGAATCCTATCCATGTGACTCAAAGCTGGCCTTTCCCCGGGGCACCGCGTCCCTGCACGTGGCATGGCATGGGGCTTCCTTTCCTCCACATCCTCAGCCTGATTCCATCCCCACACCTCAACCCTGCCAGGAGCTAGAGAGCCCATATTGTTGGGTCACCGATTCCTCCAGAGACGGAGTTTGGAGAAGCCAGGAGGCCACCAAGTCCTCGTGGAATCAGGGAGCAGTTTGGAGAAAGGAAATGGGAGCCACCAATGCCTTTGACCACGCCTGCTCCTGCTCTGATCCACTCCAGGGCCTGCCCAGAACTGGTACCCAAAGGCCCGCGAAAAGCAGAGGCTCTGTGACCCATTGTGTGCAGCGACAGGAGGAGTGTGAGCTACAGCTACTTTGCCTGTTATTACGGGTGAGGAGGTCCGGGAGGCAAGCTGGCCCAGGCTCCACGCGCTCCATCTCACGGCACCCAACCTGGGCAGGTTCTTTTAATGTGTAGGTTCTAAATAATTCAACTGACTAAAGATGGCCAGGAGGAAACTGTGGACAGCGTTCCCAGGAAGCGAAGATAGCCTGGCAGAGTCAGGCACCAGCTGCCAGTGACCCCCTGTTCAACCAGAGCAAGCAGCAGGGAGGGGACCGGAGACCCAGGTCCAGGAGCACCGGCAGCGCCCGGGCAGCGCCCGTCCTTCCAGGGCACCCATCATCTTACTAGTGCTCAGAGCTCTTCTACTCAGACTTCCTGTCGCAGATGGACAACGCCGTGTAGCTTTGGACTGACAGGTCCTGAAATTCGCACGGAACTGTTTTCCCTTGACTTTGCCTTTCCAGGAATCCACAGAGGAACTGGGAGCTGAGCTTGGTAGGAACAGGTTTCATATGGGTTGAAAATGCACTGCTCATGACTAATATTGCTCATCAATTCCTAGTCACTATACAACAGCCACATTCCCAAGTCTTCAGTATGTGCCACGCCAGACCCTGTGACAGGAGCTCACGTGCATTTGTTTATCTGATACTCACGACTCTACAAGCTGAGGGCTGATATCAGTACAGTCCCCATTTTTCAGATAAGGAGACGGAGGCTCAGAGGAGTTAAGTGATTTTTTTCCCAAGATCACACAGTTGGTGAGTGATGGCAGTGGGGTAAGCAATGTGTTCCTGCTTCTCTGAGATGTCCTGTTTAAACATGACAGTCCTGCATTCTAAATGGTCTGCAGGGGGCTGTCCTGGTTTTAAAAGGAAAGCCCCATGTCTGGGAGCCCCTCTCAGTCCCAAGACCCTGGGTGGTGGCAGGAGTCCAGGCACTGGCTCTGCAGCCTTCAGCAACACCTGCTGACAGTCTGAATCACTATGTCTCCTAGGGAGGCACCAGGACTCGGATTTCTCCACCCAGGACACGTGAAGAACACGACAGGCACACAGTGGGGGCTAAGGTCACATCCCCAGAGATGGGCTTTAATCTCCCGACTTTCCGATTGCACTTGAGTGCCTGCAAGTTTTCTACCCAAGTCCTCTGCTCAGGCGACACTTGCAGGGTGTAGGTGAGGAGGAGGGAATGCTGTGGCCCCACCCCAGAGGCCAGGGTGCAAGGAGGTGACCAACTCAACTATCTTGGTTTAAAACGCAAAGTCCCAAGCCTGGGAAGCCCTCAGACCCAGGCAAACCAGGACGATGGGGATCCTGTCGTGCTCGATGTCAGCATTAGTCCTCACCACGGGGGCCCCTCATTTGACCACTCATGCATTTCCCCCAGGACTTTCAGTGCTATCCATGACAGGTGTGCTGCAAGACACAAGCCAGGTGTCCTGTGCCATCTCTGCACACTGCCCCCTGACAAGCAGAGCATTCTGGGCATCTCCTGAAAAGAAGCACCAAATTCATATACAGGACTCAGGAAGAGGACCCCAGAGCAACTGGGGCTGGGCCCTCTCCATCTGTGACCTGACAGACTGCCAACTCCCAGGGGCTTAGAACAACCCTGTGGGGGAAGGAGCTCTGGCTTAGGGGTCTGAAGCTCTGCCCTTAGCTGTGTGACCTCCTGGAAGTCACCTGACCTCCCTGAACCCAGTTTCTCATTTATCTAAGGGGCTGTCACAACAGGCATAACTAGAGCTGCTGTTCATCATAGGGACAGATAGGGCTTGCCAGCCATAGGGCCACTGCGGAGGACAGAGCTCCTTGGGTCCTCCCAATAGGAACTCAGGTCCCTGCTTTGGGGCCGAGAACCTAGCTGTCTCCAGGTGAGCAGCAGCCCCCTCACCTTGCCACATGGAAAACCTCTCCCCCCAAACACAAGAGGTCCTTGGGAATAGGGAAGCTTCACGGGTCTTCAGAAGGACAGTAGCACTTCGGTGACCTGAAAGAGTGAAATGGACCCTTCACAGGCTCAGATGACCAGGGTCACTCCCTGTGCTGTAAAAACTACGGGGAAATAACTTCCTGCTTCCAAAAGGCCTGTGCAGAGGGGAAATGAAAGGGCAAGCACTCTGCTGTCACATACGTCAGTGGTGACCACGGTTCTAGGCTCTAAGCCTCACACCCAGAAAATACATAACGAGTGTAACATCGTGGGAAAACTCACTCAGTCACTTTTTTTGTTTAAGTTGTCAATGAGCCTTTGTTTTCTTTTATGTGTTTAAATATGTGATACTGAGAATCGAACCCAGTGCCTCACACATGCTAGGCAAGCACTCTGCCACTGAGCCACAACCGCAGCCCCCAACTCAGTCACTTTTTAAGTGATCTTTTCAAAAGAGATGACCGTGAGCTAGAAATACGTTCTAAAATCGATTTTTTAAAAAGTGAACTGTAAGCATCTTAACCCTATCAGACAAAGTGAGGATGGTCAACAGTGTGAAACACCTCCACTGGCCTGGCCTCCATTCTTGGTTGCTAACCTAGTGGTTAAGCATGAAAACCAGAGCCAGACCTCAGGATTTAATACAGGCACCATCACTTCATTACTGTGTGGCCTTGGGCAAGTTACACAGCTTTTCTGTGCATCAGCTTAGTCATGTCTAAAATGAGAGTAATGAGTCTGTACTTTGTAGGGTTACACTGGGAATAACTGAATTAATGCTCAGTAAATACTCAATAAATGCTGACCATTAATTTTCATTCTTCATTCAATAGAAACTTATTCAATAATTCCATACTATGTTTCAACTCTGCCCTGAAACTCCTCTCCCACTGCAAGAGTCCTGCCCTGAGCATTTATAAACAGGAGCTGGAGCCAGGGACTGCCCCAGGGGTGCGGTAAGGCAGAGCCAGCAGCCAGGTGCCTGAGACTAAGTCCTGACTCCCTGAGGACTGTGACCCCACTGGGCCTCCAGGGACCCCAAGCGACCATCCTTACCTGGCTGTGTGGAGCACAGAGGGCATCTGTAGACTATGAACTGTGCCTGGGGTTGTGTCTCTGCTGGGACAGAGCCACTAGATGCTAGGGCCATGACGGCATCCACCCAGCTCACAGCCCCAAGGGAAAGAGGACCTGCTACCCAGACAGTGGTGTGCGGGTGGGACTGGCATCCGGCCACTGACTCCAAGCCAAGCTGCAGTCAGGAACCTCATCACCCCCTCCCTGAACTTTGGAGAAAGAGGAGGCTGGCTCCACTTTTCCTCCCTGGGATCTTCTACTTCCCAGGTGAGAAGAGGGAAGGGGCAGGAGATGAGTGAGGCAGGGTGGTCCCTTTCCCCGGGAAGCAGCCAGCTTCTGGCTTGTCGCTGCCATGGTTTAGGCGCAGCCTGGGCGCCCTCGCCCACTCCCAGAGCAGTGGCATCATGAAAGCGCTTGGCGTTGGCTGCCGCGTTCTCCCTCCAGAGCTTTGCAAATCCAGGCTCCTGGAAATCTTGGAACCCGTGAGCCGGTCTTGTGCTCATCTGCACATCATGACACTGGGGTCCAGCAGAGGGGGTTGGGACATGTCTAAGGCCACTCAGGAAATTCTGGACAGGACCAGACCTCATCCCAGGTCTGATGACCCTAGGTTCTGGGGTGTTCCCCCAACCCCACTGTCACCCATAGAAATCACCAAGTGCTGAGCGTTCTGACAGTCCTGGGCCTGGTGGTGGCACCTGGAATCCTTGGATCCATGGGAGGAATCAGAGCAGAGGCTGAGCCTCCCCCACCCACAGCTGGCAACATGGCCAGGGGGCAAGCAATTCAGCTTTGCAGCGGAGCTGGGGCGGGTCCACCCCAGTCTGTGCAAGACAAAGGGGAGAGGCTGTCCAGCATTGTGACTCCTGGGGTCAAAGACAGGCTCCTAGCAGGCCTTGTCACCAGGTGAAAGGGGTGGCAATTCTGGGAAGGTCTGAAGAGTCAGTGAATGAGGCAACCTCTGCTGTCACCTTCCAGCCACAGCTACCTCCCTGCCCTCCACACAGAGCCTGGGTCCTGAGTGACCCCAGCTGACTGTAGTTCAGTCTCAGCCCATGCTCAAGCACTCACAAAGTGACCCATTTTGGTTTTCCAGCTTTTAAGGCAAGGGACAAGCTGACTCACAGTAGGAAAGAGCCCTAAGTTTGGGCCAGGATGCTGGTACAACTTGACCCCCCATCTTGGGGATCCACACTGCTCCCCATGTAATGGCCAGTTCACAGGGCAAAGGGGATTGCCCAGCCCACACTTCCATTGTAGACCAAATTCTCAGTGCTTGGAGCATGGCATTCTTTGCCCAAATGCCTTGATCCTGCTCCCAAAATGTGTGCAGGCATCTCCCGCTGGCCCCGTGCCTCTGAGGGTGGACTATGTGGCCTGAGTGCCTCACTTTAGGCCTGAGGAGCAGCATTAGTGAGCAGTGTGTGTTCGTGGCTTTGCAGCCTGCAATGTGCTCCTGGTGCACAGGGCCCCTGCAGTGCTGGGTAGGCCAGCATGGGAGGTGAGGCCAGTGGCCCAGCTCCCCTCTCCCCAGCAAGAACAAGGCTGACCTCCAAGGAGCCTGTAGAGGCTAAACGTGAACTCCACCTTGCAGGAAAGGTGTATTTGCCAAAGTAAGGGGACGGAACATGTTCCATTTGCCAGTTAGTGAGCTTAGTTTAGAGCACCTACACGTCTAGACACACTGCTGGTGAGCCTCCATTTGCCTAACTGCTCCACAGACCAGGGGATGATTCTGGACTCAAGCTACTTTCTGGATCTGCTAAATCAGGCAAGTGCCTCACTTCCTGTCTCCCAGTTTCCTCATCTGTAAAGTCAAGGGCATGGTGAGGTTCTGACTACGATGCCACCACTTGACATCCTCCAGAGCCAGCTGTCAGTCAGCCTCTGTGGGCATGGTTCATAGGACATAGAGGGGAGGCCCTGCAGACCCTTTGAATTTTTAGGGGAGAGCCCAGGCTGCTTCTGGGTTGAGTCCTCTTTCAGCATCCTCCTTCTCAAAAGTCCTTAACCCAAACCAATGAGCCTGGCCCTGCAGTGGACTGGATAGAGCAGGCACCTGCATGCATGCCTAGCAGCACCAGGGAGGGGTGGCTGTAGCGGGTCAGGAGTTGGGACTAGAGAGAAGTGCACACTGAGCTGAGCCGGTGGAGGGCTGGGTGTGGATCAGACATTGGAAACTCCAACCTGCCTGGAAAATGTAATCACTGGAGAAATGCCACAGACAGGCAGGGGCACGGGATGCTGCTCAAGGCTGTATTTAAAGAAAAGAAGGTCCATGCCGTTTGGGGGTGTTGAAGAAAGGGGGCATGGCTTGCTGCACATCACATTAATATCCTGCAGAAAGAGCTGATACCACCAGAGCCTCCTGACAAATGCCACACTGGGCCTCAGGGATCCTGAAATGGGTCCCAGGAGGCTAAGAAAAACTTCCAGGGAGCCCAAACTCCACCAGCCACCCTGGCTGCTCAGAGAAAGCAGTCTGGCTTCTGAAAACCCAGGACTGGCACCCACGGTCACACAGGCTCTTGGCACCAAGTTGGGTGAGGAGGCCCCAGTGAGAGGATGCAGAGACAGCCCCAGAGCGAGCTGTGTAGTTCTGCATTTGTGTGAGGAAGAATTTGGAGCTGCCAAGACAGATGCCAGAGGACTAGCTGTCAGGGAGTCCCCTGAGGCATGTCTGTCTCTTCTAGGTGGGCAAAAGCCCTCAGGGAGGGACAAGGCAGTGTCCGCTGAGTGGCCCACTGCTCCACAGCATCCATGGAGCTGGTGCAATGGGAGTCGGGTGGGGCCTCCTGACCCTGGATGTGAGTGGGGCCTCTGGGAGTGGGGCAGGGGCTGAGGCTTCCCAGAAACCTGTCCTCTCCAACAAGGCTGGCTCTGCTCCTGAGCCCTGAAGGGCCTGGGGTGGTAGGTACAGGAGCTCCTCGGGGTCCCCCAGAGGGGAGTGGGGAGAGGAGGGCCCTTCCCTAAGATCTCCCCAGGAACTCTCCCACAGTGTCTGGCTTGGAGTAAGAGAGAGAGATTTGCTGCTGGCCCCTGTCCCCTAAATGGGCTGAAAGGGAGTCACTGCCCTCCCCCGCGCCGCTTCTAGAAGTCGAACAGGAACTAGTCTAAATAAGAACTGACTCTTTTCCCAGTTCCATCTCTTCTCTGCTGTGAAACTCATGGTGAGGGGCCCTCTCTAGGACTTGTTCAAGTCCTGGAGTTAAACAACATTTCCTTGCATCTTCTAAGAGCAGTCCTGGCCTGAGCCCCAGGGATGCACCTTCTAAAGTGGAGGGTGATGGGAAGCGGACAGGTCTGCGAGTGTGGCTGCAGCATGTTCCTCCCACACACTGAGCCGGGCACAGGCAGTGAGAGCTGCTGCATGTACATTTTGCATGTAATTCTGTGAGGAAGGCTCTGTGGTGAGAAGATTGTTCTAGCATGTAATCAGGAGTGGCTGTTCTTGGGAGCAACAATGGACCCATACCTCCACGCCTTTATATGTGCAGGCATGGCGAGATTCAAGGACCGCGCATTACTGCTCATGGTTGAAAAGCTTAGCAAGAAACCCTTGTTCAGACTGACACCTCTGGTCTGCTAGGTGCTGGGCAGGAACATGTGTATCCTGGGTCCAGGGCTCTGCTCACAGCAGGAAGGCCCTAGCTTCTCTCACCAGGGCTCTCTGCCTGCCTCACCTCCTGCACCTATCAGGATACCAAAGCCCTTACCTAGGGTCTCAGGCAACAGAGGGGGAGCCTGCTTTCCATGGACAAAAACAGCAGCATTCGAAGAGACACACCAGCACTTTCCCTCTTTGCTTTCCTAATCTCATGAGGAAAGCCAGGTGAGCTCAGGACAGCTCAGCTTACAGTTCCTTCCTCTCCCGGGGGGGTTCTGGGGATGGCAGAGGTTCTCAGCAGTACTTGGGCTTGCTGCCTCCCTCTGCCCTCCTGAGAAACAGCAGCTAGATGGGGCCGGAAGTGGGTGGGCAGGCTGTCTCAGGAGCCTCAGGCTCCAAGGCCAGGTGACACTGGACAGTGCTTTCTGGAGGGTGAGAGCAATTCCATCCCCTCAGAGCCAGCAACAGGGAAGGGCACAGCCTGGTTCCATCTGGCAAGGACTCTCTCTCTCTCTCTCTCTCTCTCTCTCTCACACACACACACACACACACACACACACAGAGGGTCAGGACACAGGCAGTGCCAGACACTGGAGAGAGGAAGGGCCCAGAGGAGCAGCCCTGCTCAGTTTGAAGAGCTCTCAAGGGCTTCCTAAGGCTCTGGCCACCCTGTCAGGGTCCGAGTCAAACCTTAAACAGTGAACAGAGCCCACTGTCTTCCCATGTCACTTAAACTGACAGCTACAAACACAGACAAGGACAAGGAAGACCAAGTTAGTTCTGACTGATTTTGCTTCAGAAAGTGGCATGTCCCATATCACCCATGTTTTTGGTGGCCCTGATCTGTTGAGTTTAGGCACCTGCTAAGTCCCGAGGACGTCCCCTCCCTACCCTGGCTTTCTGAGGAGGAAATGGAGCTTGTTGGAAGAGTTGTTTCCCCACGATCCACACTGGGTCCCCAGACCCCCACTCCCACCGACTTCTCGCCCAGTTCCCGGAGCGCCGGCTCGGGCACCTCACCTGGGATGGATGTCCACCAGCAGCACGAGCGTCTGCATGGTGATCACGTCGATGCGCTTGCAGTGGAAGCGGGCCACCTTGAGCACCTTGAGGTACGTGAAGCAGAGCACAACGAAGGACAGCAGGAAGCTGAGCGCGTGGAAGGCGCCGGTGAAGACCGCGAAGCGCAGGCGCTCCTCTGGCCGCCGGCTACACAGCGTGCAGGACGCGTACAGCTGGTGGAAGCCCAGCCAGGACAGGGCGAGCGCGGCCGCAGGGAAAGTGAGCGCGTGCAGCCACGTGTAGGCCACCATGAGCGCAGCGTCGCGGAGGCGCATCTTAGCGCGATAGCTCAGCGGGAAGACCACGGCCACCCAGCGGTCGATGCTGAGCGCGGCCATGCTGAGCATGGAGTTGGAGGCCAGGAAGGTGTCGAGGAAGGCGGCCAGGCGGCACAGGCGGTCGCCGGCCGGCTGCCGCTGCGCCACGACGCCGGCCAGCGTGAGTGGCATGTTGAGCACGGTGCACAGCAGGTTGCCGCACGTGAGGTTGAGGGTGAAGAGCGCCGGCGCCTGGCGGCGGATGTCGGCGCTGTGCAGGAGGCAGAGCAGCACCAGCGCGTTGGACAGCAGCGAGACGCCCATCGTGCCCACCAGCAGCCCCGCCAGGCCCGCGTCCCACGAGTTCATGGTGCGCGCCCGCCGCCCGCGCTCAGGGTCCGCAACCCGGCGCTGCCATGGCGCAGCCCGCGGCCGCCTCAGCCCCTCGGCGCCGCCGCCGCCCCGCGACCCCCGGCCCCTGCCGCCATGGCTCCCTGGAGGAAGCGCGGCCGCCCGGAGCCCCGCGCCACCCCCTGGACAGGCACCTGGACGCGCAGCCACCCCGGAGCCCGCGCCACCTCCTGGGCTGGCAGCTGGGCGCTCAGCTCACCCCCAGACCCCGCACCGCTTCGGTCAAGCGCGCGGTGCCGTGCGCTGCTGAACCTGGAGCCTTTAACGCCCTGGGATCCTTGAGGGCTGGCGCTTCCAGCTCTGCCTCTGCTCTGCTCTCTGCTCGCTCCTGCCCTCGCTCCGTCCCTCTCCGTCTTCTCGCTCTGCACACCCTCTGCTCTCTCGCTGTCTCTGCCTCCCTCTCTCCGCTAGCTCCTTCTCGCCTGCTCTCCCCCCTGCTCTCCCCTCCACCCCCCCCTCCTCTCCCTCTCCCTCTCCCTCTTTCTCCCTCTGCTGTCTCTCCGTCTGTCTCTCCCACCCCCAATTTTCTCCTCCCCTCTTGTTCTCTCCCCTCCCCCTTCTCTCCCTAGAATCTGACTGCTTCTGTCATGGAAATCCCCACTGATACACACGCACACACACACTCTCTCTCACTCGCTGACACTGACACACTTGGAGGGAATGAGCCCTGAGGCTCCTGTGCAGGGTGATCGCTCCCTGTGGCTCTCCCTCCCCCTTCCCCTGCCTTCCTCTTCTGTGTGTCAGACAGGCTGAATTAAGAAAGGCTTTCAGGGAAGGGAGGGATGCCTGCACCTTCACACCTCTGTACCACCTGTCCCCCCACAATGCTAGCCTAGGAGAAGGGGTACAGCCCTAGCCCACCTGTCCCACTGCTGAGCTGCCCAGGGATTGTGCTCCTCCCTCTGTGCGTTGAACTGGAAAACTCAGGTAGGCTTCTTTTGCTGAGAGGAGAAGGAGCCCACATCTCTCTCTTGCATGGCCAGGGGCCCAGGCATCTCCTGACACCTCCTCAGTCTGTCACCAGGGCAGCTGCTGCACTGTTGGGCATTTAGTTTCTGGTGGCTTCTTGTCATTGCCTGTCAATCAGAGATTTAGCAGCATTCTCAGATCAGCTGAGGGGACAGTGAGGCTCACTATGACATCCCCTTGGCACCACCTTAGCCAGGAGAAGACAATAGCTGACCCTGAGTGCTCCCACCTGGGAAGCCTGCATGTCCACAGTAGGCCTGATACACAGCATCTTAGCCCTGAGTTCCAGCTGCTGCCTTCTGTCAGCCCTGAAGACTGCATACCTGTCCACTCTGGGTCTGCTGAGGCAGCAAGTTCAAGTTTAAGAGGGACCTGATGACACAATGTGCCAGAACTCTTCAGGAAATGGAGAGGATGGTGGCTGACATCCACAGTAACTATGTACATATGAAGTCTCAACCTTGCCCTCAGGAAAGGGTGCAATGACCGTGACCCTCCTGCTCCTGGACCAGACTCTGGGGAAGATGTGTGATGGAAAGATAGGTGGCAGCTCTCGGCCTCCACAGTTAGCCTTCCTCTCCACAAGAGGCCACTCCAGTGGCCACCTGCACCCCATAGCAACCTCTGTCCTGAGCACAGACAATCCTATCCTGAAGCCTCCTGGTAGGGCCTGTAACTGTTGAGTCGACCCTGAAGGCAGAGGTCTCATCAGCCTTACCTCCCCTCATCTAGCATCAAGCACAGTGCAGATGCTCATGAAATGAGGCAGCAGGAGGGCAGGAAAATCAAGGCTTCTCCCCTCGCACTGCCACAGAGGGCACTCCTCAGCAGTCTTCGAGTGAAAGGCAACTGTATATAGCAGAGAGCTAGAGCCAGCTCCTACCAGTTGTTAGCATCCCTCTCCAGCCCCCTTCAAAGATAGCACATTGGTGGCTCGAAATCTGCCATGCTGGGAGTTACTTGCACCATAGAAATTAGCAAATTGCACAAATCAGGCCTCACCACCCTCCAAGCCTGTGTTAAACATTTACCAGCACATCACTCACAGAATCTATGGACCCTGGGCCAGTCACTTAACCTCCAGAGCCTCAGTTTCCATAAGTACCTTTTAGAGCTATGGTGAGCAGTATACAAGATTGTGTGTGTGTGTGTGTGTGTGTAACTTTTCTTCCCAGAGAAGGAAACAGAAGAATGCCAGGAATCTTCCCTGTCTCTTGGTCCCCTCCTGTCCTATGGAGTTCAGGGCTGGCTATGTGTCTTCAACAGACATTTAGAATATGGTGTCAGAGTGAGGTATACATCTGAGTGTCTCCCCTGCTTCCAAAGACTGTTCCTCCCCAGAATAGCTCCTGAAATAAGATAGGTGCTCTAGCACTATTAATGGAGGAAACAAATCAACCAATATATTTGGGGGACACTGTCTCCATCCTTGAACCTCACATCTTAGCGTTTGGCAGAATTAACTAGTAAATCTGGGTGTTGGTTAAAGATTTAGATTCCTTGGTCACACCAAGCATTTCCCAGTCAGAGGGTCTGGGATTCTGAACTCTTCATGAGCTCCTCGGGTGATTCTGAGGGTGGTCCATGGCCACACTGGAGGACCATGCTGTATGAGAAGTGGCCAGGTCAGGCAGCTGGATGCCTGAATGTAAAGTGTTAAGTAAAATCCTCATAGAATGTTAGAATTTACAGAACATGTCCAAACATGATCACACTGTAATCCTGCAACAGTGACAGGGAAAAGAGCTTATCACTGTCCACATCATAGAGGTAAGGGCACTGAAGCCAAAGAGCTTAAGTGACAGAGTTGGCAAGGTATGAAGCCTATACCCTAGCTCCACAGATTGGCTCCTTCTGTATATTCCAGAGGTCTCTGGATGTCTCTGGGTATATAAGTTTAAAAAAACAACTCAACTTTGAAATATCAAAATAATGACCATCAACAACAGAAGCCAGTGAACACAGTTGTGTTTACCTTCACATGTGCATACATGTGTTCTGCCCCTCCCCCCCTCTCTCTCTCTCTCTTACACACACTCACACACACACACACAATCATTTTTGAAGATTATTTGCTTTCTGACTGCATAAAGGCAACATCAAAAGGTTAAAATGTCAGACACTCAGAATATTTTTATCTCAGTTTCCTAAGGGAAAGAAGCTCAATTTCTTTGGGTTTTAAACAAATTTCCTACCCGCAGTGGGGCTATAGGAGGACTGTTCTCCATAGAGATCATGTCCCCAGCCACCTTGGCCTCAACCAGGTTGGGCCTTGCTAAGCATAGGTTCTAACATGGCCCTAGACACCAGCAAGGGGTTCACCGCCATTGAGGAAGGGAGATGCAGGCCCTGGCCTGGCCTGGACATAGGTCCGCACTACCCTTCAGGAATGACTCAAGAATGCAGCCTGCAGGACCGGGGGCAACAAGGCCTGGGGTGTGCCTGCTAGGGAGCTGCTCCGAGGCAGAGCTGCACAACAGGCGACTTCAAGCCAGAGAGGAGCCGGCAGTGATGGAATGTTGATGACAGCATTAACATGACTCATTAAATACCCTAACTGGGCCCCGAGGGAGGGCTTAATCAGCAGGGCTCCATAGAAGCGGCTGGTTGCACACGCCATTGCCCATGCTTACAGCATCTGTATCATGATTCCATCTCGACCAGTGAAGGAGTCGAGACCCAGAGAGCCCAGTTGTTTGTTCTAGGTTGGCATCGATGGACTGTGATGGCACAGTCAGGGTTCAAATCCAAGTCCCTTGCACATAAAAACCCACATTCTTTCTACTCTACCAGTATCTTTATGACACACGCACACACACATACTACTCTCAACATGGGCTGATGACTACACTGGTCCTTTCCACAGTTATCTTCAGAAAGAGGAAATACTGATATAAACTGAACGGGAACCAGAATGGTACCAGTGCTCCCAAGAGAGGTCCTGTGGAGGCAACGTGAATACCAAAAGCACATTCCTTTGGCAAAGCAGAGAGTTCTAGATGTGTGCAAGTTGAGGGGGAGGGGCGATAACTGATGTTCCATGGGGAAGGAGGTGCCCAAGCAGATGCCTAAGAGCTGAAGTCTGGCAGCTTCGTGGAGTTGTAACTCTTGAGCAGAAGGTGAGCCTCCAGGAAGGAGCCTGGGCCGGGCTTAAGCACAGAAGTTCAGGCCCATTGAGAGGATGGCTTCCTGGCTTCCATGGCCTGGAGCATTCAGTCACACTGAGGGCACAACCCTGCCAGCCTCTCCACCTGAGCCATCAGCTGGCTTCCATTTTCAAAGCATTAACACAACTGCTACTACTTGTGATCCCTGTAGAATTCTGGGATTTCCAAGAGTGAACCACAAGTGTTCTTGCTGCACAGATAAGGATGCCAACACCCTAACGGAGATGTCCTTCCATTCTTTGAATAATGACATGTGGTTAGTGAGTGGCAGACCAGGGCATGGAATGCTGACCAGGGCCCTCTCACTGTCCAGTGCTCTCTGCTGTCACTATCAGATCAGATTGGCCCTCCTGCTGTTTAGGCACACCCCCAGCCCAGCCCTCATGGTGGGAAAGCAGAATCAACAGAACAGTTCTTCCAACAGCCATTGGGCCTCTGGCTTACTTGTCTACTCTCCTAAGAATTGGTTTGAGGGACAGGTCTTCGTCACTCCTGAGTCTCTGTGGCTGTCTCCGGCCCACAGGCCAGCCCTGGAAGGTGTCAGGCCCAGCCATAGGGAAGAGGGAGCCTGCTGCCTGGCAGTCTCAGCTGGAAACTCCAGGGAGAAGCCAAGGCTCCCCTCTGATGGACACAGCCTGTGTGGCCACATTCACCCAAGGCCTGCTCTGCTGCGATGCTCCCTGCCTCGCCTCATTTAATCTTCCCTGCAGCCCTGAGCAAGCAATGCTGCAATGACCCCCCTCATACAGATGAGGAAACAGAGGTTCAAAGAGGTCAGGCAGCATGCTGGGGTCCTGGAACTGAGGGGGGAAGTGAGATGACCCCAACTCTGTTCTGATGCCAGATTTGATCCCCCGT